ACTGTGTTTAGGCCTCTGAAGACTATGATTACGTGGGAACGTTAGACCGTTAACTTGATAAAGTGCTCTACCTAAAAACCTCGAACGGCAGTAGGATTTTGACAACGTAAACGACAATGCCGAGGTTACAAAAAGGGAGAATTTTTAGACCATTTGAAGCAGGGAGGTTTCATAATATATATAAAAGATGTTGTTGACACAACACAGGTTAATTACCTTAGTTCCACCCTCATGGCTACATATAATGAAGCAATTGTGTAATAGTACTCTTTTGAATCTCGGACTCGGAAGCTTTTCCATCCACTCTTTTACATCCTGTCCTGTGTTATATAACAGAAACTGAAAACTGACGAAAGAAACTGACGTTCAAAAATATAGAGGAAGTTATAGAGAAGCGCTTCGAAGCTCACTCGAATCTCTCTGGCCGCTATATAACAAAAATTTTGGTACGAGCCTTATTCGGCCTTCAATGGAATAGTCAAAAATCGTAAGATAGAGACCTAAAGTAAGGACGAGCTCTCATTCGTAGGAGTGCTGTGAAGAATAGCAGAAAATCGACGAGAGTAAAGGGATGAGAGTAAAAATGAAATAAAAGCCTTCATAAAGAAGTATGTCCACTCTGAAAAGGAATGAGTGGATATTTGAAGAAGATTGAAATATAGTATAATAAATGTTAGCTAGGCAGCACATATTTGCAATCTACGCATTTTTTTCTATTTTTTTAATTTTCTATTCATTTTTTCTAGCCTCATATCTACGGTTAAAATTCGAAGTTGTCTATGTTAGGTGTTCCGTTCTCAATATAATAAATTGTACTCTTATTAATATACTGGGGAATATTGAGTACTGAACTCCTCGGGTTGTTCAGCCCTTATTTTAACAAAAATGAAATGGATCTCGTTGTTTAATGGAAACTCACTAAAATGCCATCATAGATAACAGTCTGTCGATGGCTATCGCAAGTAAGAATAGTGGGGATGTACAGGATGCAAACAATGGTGCCAGTTGAATATACACGCATGTTGATTGAGGAATTGTTTCACTTTGAACGCTGTAAATAAAATCGTGGATGAATTCATCGGCCATTGCTGGTGATGACCTTCACCTCGCTGAGACGTCCTCTACTCTACTGTTTCTGTTACGCACCTCACTCAATGAAATCTCAGCAAATTACTTGATTTTGTTTTGCTTCTTGGTCACCTCCATCAAAAGTCAAGTTTGCCATCATGAGAATGGAACGATCAAGCTCGTTCTTATGAATTGTTAGTATTCAGTAAACTTTCCAGGAAACTTACATATTGTGATAGGCAGTAGCCATGAGATCAGAAGAGATAATCATCATGTCACTTAGGGATACCAAAGCGATGAGTACGTTGCAGGGACTTCGCAGAGCTCTCAAACAATATAACTTTCCGACTCTTACATAACATCCCTGCTAACTCCTTATGAAAGAACTGCTGGCTGCTCACATGGTTCTTACCTTGAACGCATTGTTACATAAACGATGGCTCCATTCCCTAATAAGCTAATAAATGGTATCGCAATATACAGAACATGATAAGGAATCGGTTTGCTCTCTGGATACATCCTGAAATAATTGAGTATTTATAGACTCTAGTAGACCGAAATTGGAAATAGACATCATTACCAATTATAGAACAATTGAAAAGCCCAGGTTCAACAAGGAAGCGCTTAACCACTGAGTTGAAGACTTTTTTTGCTTCCAATTTTCCGAAGTCGTTCGAAATGGTTTCGTCCCAGTTTATTGAGCAGAACGTACAAAACTTAGGATGGAACTAAAAAATAAAATCTTAACATTGAAAAACTGAGAAAACAACAATAATAACTTTGCTATACTTCCTTATTGTGATGGAATACGTTAGACATGAGGTAATTGTTATTTCCGGGAATATAAATTATATGATGGCTCACAAATATGTTTCTCCGGCATTCGACCGGGAAATACACGGTTGGGTTTCTGCTTTGCAGGAACAGTCAATGATAGTAGTAAAAATAAAGAAATACCATGTCGAAAGTTAGCTGACCTGGTGTAAAAACAACGCTTCCATTCGGTGTCACGCTCAAGATTCTTATTCTGGGATCG